CATACAATGTTCATACATACAATACTCTCAACTGGGTCCGACCCATCTCCTGCACTTCCGACTGCTCTTCTCCCTCTTCGGGCTCTATCCTATTGTTTACTCCCTACCCCAAACCCCTCCCTATTTTCTGTACATAAACTGACGTTTTCTAGCTACCATCAGTTCTGAGGAAGGGTCACAGGACCCAAAACATTGACTCTGACTTTTTTCTCACAGATGCTGCCAGACCTGCTGAGCTTTTCCATGCAATTTCTGTTTTTGTTCCTGATTCACAGCATGCGCATTTCTTTTGGTTTTTATACAAGTTTGAGGCTGCAAGTGTGTAGGCCATTGGTGAGACCACACTGAGAGTATAGACTACTGTTTTAGATTCCTTACTAAAAAAGGGACTTACATACAATCAAGGCAGATCAAAGAAGGTTCACTTCACTGATTGCTGAGATAAAGGGTTTTGTCTAATGAGGTGAGATTGAATAAGTTTGATTGGAGTTTAGAAGATTGAGAGGTGACCTTGTTGAAACAGAGGATTTTGAGGACGGTTGACAGGATGGATGCTGAGAAGATACGTTTTCCTTCGTGGGGGAATCTAGAACAAAGGGGCACAATTTAAGAGATAGATGAAGAGGAATTACTTCTCTCCGTGATTCATGAAGTTTTGGGATTCTTGTGCTCAGACAGCAATGGAGGGTGAGTCATTGAATATATTCAGGGCTGAGTTAGATTTTTTGATTGGAAAAGGAGTCAAAGATTATTGGGGAGTGGGCAGGGGAGTCAGGAAAGTGGAACATAGAAGCAAGAATTGACCATTTGGCCCTTCAAGCCTGTTTCACCATTCATGACGTCGCAAATGGTCTAGTTTTGGGCTCAGCACATCTTACCTATCTGCCCCATCACCCTCGACTCACTTGTCTGTTAAAAATATATCTATCTTCACCTTTAATAAACTCAATAACTGAGGAAAAAGCATGGATCTGTGGATGCTGGAAATCTGGCACTAAAACAGAAGTTGCTAGATAAACTCAGCGGGTCTGGCAGCATCTGTGGGGAGAAAGTAGAGTTCACGTTTCTAAAACCTTGACTCTGCTTTCCCTCCACAGATGCTGCTAGACCTGCTGAGTTTCTCCAGCAATTTCTAATTTGTTTCAATAACTGAGCCGCCACTGATTTCTGGAGAAGAGAATCCCATACTTTAACAGAGATAACAAGGTGTAGAGCTGGATGAACACAGCAGGCCAAGCAGCATCAGAGGAGCAGCAAAGCTGACATTTTGGGTCTGAACCCTTATTCAGAAAATCGAAATGTCAACTTTCCTGTTCCTCTTGGCCTGCTGTGTTCATCCAGCTCTACACCTTGTTATCTCAGATTTTCCAGCATCGGCAGTTCCTACTATCTCCATACTTTAACAACCTCTTTTTCTTAATAACGCTATGTGTCCTAGTTTAATTCACATCCTCCCAATATCGACTCTGTATAGTCCCCGCAAGACCTCCTCTCATTCTTCTGAACTCCAGTGGGTGAAGGGACGGCTTGCCCAAACTTTCTTCACAAGCAAAGTCCTTCATCCCCGGACGGAATTGAATGAACCTTCTCTGATTTACTTCTTAAACAATTATATATTTTTTTCAAATAAGGAGTCCAAAACTGTGCACAGTATTCCAGATGTGGTCTCATCAAGGCCCTGTACAGCTGCAGTAAAACTTGTCCACTTTTATATTCCATTCCCCTTGTAACAAACAACAGTGTTCCACTCTCAACATTTACTCTGTCATTACAGAAGATGACAGTAAAATCTTCACAAAAATGCTAGGGAAGCAATGTGTTTTAGGAAGGAGGAATAGAAGGAAATTAGTATTAGCAAAAAAATAATACTGGTGAAATTAGTGACACTGAAAGCTGATAAATCCCCAGGGTCAGATAATCTACATTCCAGCATACTAAAGGGGATGCCATGAAAATAGTGGATGCATTAGTTGTCACCTTCTAATATTCTATGGATTCTGGAACAGTGCCGACAGATTCGATCGCTGCAAATGTAACCCGACCATTTGAAAAAGGAGGGAGGGAACAAACTGGGAATTACTGTCCAGTTAGCTGAACATCAGTGACCAGAACCTGTACTAGACAAGCCATATAAAATACTGTTTTTACAGAGCAGGTCAGAGGTTAGGAATCCTGCAGCAAGTAACTCACCTCCCGCCTGCCCACCATCTACAAGGCACAAGTCAGGAGTGTGACGGAATATTCCCCACTTGCCCTGGAATGGGTGCAGCTCCAACAACACTCAAGGAGCTCGATACTGTCCAGGACAAAGCAGCCCGCTTGACTGGCACCACATCCACAAACATTCACTCCTTCCAGCACCAACACTCAGTAGCAGCAGTGTGCACCATTTACAAGGTATACTGCAGAAATTCACCAAGGCTCCTTAGACAGCACTGTCCAAAACCAGGGCCACTTTCATCTAAAAGGACAAGGGCAGCAGATACATGGGAACACCACCCCCTGCAAGTTCCTCTCCAAGCCACTCACATCCTGACTTGAAAATATATCACTGTTCCCTCACTGGCTCTGGGTCAAAAACTCGTAACTCCCTCCCTAATTATATTGTGGGCCTAACTTACTTCACATGGACTGCAGTGGTTCAGTGGGCAGTTCACCAGCACCTTCTCAAGGGCAACTTGGGGTGGACAATAAATGTTACCACAGTCAGCAACACTTACATCTCATGAAGATTAAAAAAAAAGTAAGGAAAATGCTAGAATCCATCTTAAAAGATGTGATAAATAGACACATAATGATGATAATAATCTGAGCGGGCATCGTCAGCACGGTACTGTGAATGGGAAATCATGCCTGATGAACCTTGTGCAGTTTTTAAAAAAAATGTTACTCACAGGAGTGATAAAAGAAGTGTTGACGGACATCGTATACTTAGATTTTTTGAAGGCTTTCGATGAAGTTCCCTACCAGAGGCTGGTTAGAAAAATGAAAGCTAATGGGATAGGTGGTGATGTGCAGACATAGTGTAATGATTGGTTAACAGACAGAAAACAAAATCTCGGAATAAATGTGTCTTTCTCACATTGGCAAGCTGTGACTAGGGGAGCACTCTAGGATCAGTAGGGAAACTAACATTTTGTCATTGACTTAGTTTAGCTTAATTGTGTGATTATCATTAAAATGTAGGATTTTATTATTCTTGGCAGTAGCTAATGTAGGTTGTATTACTTTAGCAACATGCTTAGCTTCGCCTGAAAGAAAAGATCCATGGGATTGTGAACAGAGTGAAGACAGTAACCTGTCAAAGAACTGCAGACTATGGAAATTTGAAGCAAAATCAGAAATTGCTGAAGAAATTCAGCAGATCTGGAAGCAAGCTTGGATCAGAAAACAGAGCTAATATTTAGGGGACCGTGACCTTTCTTCAGAACAAGGCTTTCAGAAAGGTCACCGGACCCAGAATCTTAACTCTGCTTTTTCTCTCCATAGATGCTGCCAAACCTGCCGAGTTTCTCTAGCAATTAGTTGAAGACAGTACTCTAATGTTTTGAGTTACAGCTGCAAGGCTGAGGGACCCCTGTCTAGTTCATTCCCATTTCATTTCCCAGTTCAGAGAACATGCAATCTTCAAGGCCAAAGAAGACAAATTTGATATACTCCCAAATCATTCACCCTTATTGAGAAATTGTAACCATGACTGTGTTTCTTAACTGGTGCATTCTAACTTGCTTTAGAAGTGAGACAATTCTAGATGGCCAAAACAAATATTTGGACGAGATGTAAGCCTTGTATTAGAGAGTGAACTTCGTAACTGTATAATTATTGAGACTTTATATGGAAGAATATTTCACATCCTGTACAATTTGTTATTGTATTTTGTGATTTCTGCACTAGGTTTTTTCCTGTAGTTTTGAAGTTATAAGGAAGCTTTTTATATTATATCTTTTGCCTTTAAATAAAAGTCATTCAAGAGATGAAAGTCTTGTCTTATGAGGAGTGATTGAGGAGTTTAGGCCTATACTTGTGAAGACTTAGAAGGATGAGGGGAGATCTGATTGAAGCATATAAGATGCTAAAGGGGTTGACAAAGAAGATGTAGAAAGGATGTCCCACAAAGGGAAAACAATCTAGGAAGAGTGGTCATAGTTTTAAGAGCCAATTACAGAACCAGAATGTGTGCCTTAAACCAATTATCATCATAGAATCCCTACAGTGTGGAAACAGGCCCTTTGGCTCAACAAGTCCACACCGACCCTCAGAGCATCCCAGCCAGACCCATCCCCCTAATCTACACATCCTTGAACACTATGGGCAATTTAGCATGGCCAATCCACCTAACCTGCACATCTTTGGACTTTGGGGGAGAAAACCCGGAGGAAACCCACGCACACACAGGGAGAATGTGCAAACTCCACACAGACAGTCACCCAAGGGTGGAATCAAACCCAGGTCCCTGGTGCTGTGAGGCAGAAGTGCTAACTACTGGGCCACCGTGCCACCAATTAGCAATAAGGTCTCACCTAACCTTGGCCAATCAGTATGTAATGCTGTAATTGATCATTTTCAGAGTTGTGGATGTGAAACAGTTAAAAGTAACAGCCTTCTATGATCAGGATGAGCAAGATAGTTTAGAGTGAAATTATCCTGCTGTTAAAATTAGAAGGCCCTTGAAGCACTGCAGAACGACCAGAGACCTAGTGTCAACTTATGTCCTAAGCTGAATCAGAGGGCAAAAGCTGTAGTATTCCTGTAAAATTGTTGCTTTGTTTTATTAGGTATTATTTGTAACCTAAGGACAGAGTTTGAGGAGATATGCTCAATATCTCCAGCCACTGCACTGTAACAATCAACAGCTGTGGCCAAACATACATCAGGCATCTTGATCAACCACACTGCTGCCGGCGAGGCCCTATGCTCAAGAGTTAAGATGGACTGGATGGATTTTTTCATCTGTCCCCGACTCCCACTATCCTGTCTTTCAAAAACAGAGTTCTCCTCACCTTTAGAAATGTAGGGCTTCATATCATCGACATTAGGAACAGTGTGTTGGCGAGGGACAGGGAGTGGAGGTCTGCTTGTAGTCTCTTGACGATAGTCATCATCTGGCACGGTATCATAAATGTCTGCCTCTTCCATTTCACCAGGACCATCACAGTCCACAGACTCGTCATTATTCCCTGCAATATTAAACACACCCTAAATTACGCCTCAGAATCTGGGGCCAAACTCCCCGGTTTAGTAGAACGCTGTATTGGGTGGTGTGACTCTGAGCCTCTGAGGCTAGGAAGATCCCAGGTCTGTGTTGGAGAATTGGCCCCAACCCATCCAGAGTACCAGCTAAAGATAGTGTTGCTGGACACCAGCCAGAGTTTCCCCATCCTCTTCATGACTGGATGAAGACAAGGCTATCTGAGACACTGACATCTTTCAAGGCAGAATTGGCCTATTCTTTAGCCTCAATGGAGACAAACCAGTCAGTTTGGTTGCAGCTACCAGGGAAGGAACTGCAGCAAAAAAACGTGGCCCACCTTGCAGGAATTTCCTTAGTATGCAATCGGTCGTGGAGCCAAAAGGATCTGGAACTCGAGTAGGTGCTTGGGCTGCTCCCATCAGGTTTGACATTGGCTCATCTACAAACAAAGTTTATTGAAATGTTATCCTCCAAATCAAATTGAAACCCCTTATGGGCACAATATAATCTCCTACCGCTGACTGGCGTATCCATCAATTTAGACCTTTAATATAGATTTTGGTACAGAAAGCACAAATATTTAAATTGTTTCTTTGTGCATGTCGTGCTACACTGCTAGAATTACACAGAAGAAAAACAGATTATTTTTATAATTATCTGTGACAGCCAGTGTGCTACATGGAGAGTGTTACTGCTTTATACGATGGCATTTATTTTGCTCATCGATTGCTTTGCATTCTATGGTTCAGTTGGAATGGGTCAGTAATTAATCCTGGAAGCTCTGGCATGCCAGGGGCCCAGTTTTATCCCAGGCACCCATTTGCTCAATGTGTGTTTTCATTCTGACTCACAGGCACTGTCCATAATCCCTGTTGGAGGCAGTATTTCCATCATTGACTCATAGATGTCCTCATCACAGCCGGGGTTCAAGGTGCACTTCATCAAGATATCTTTGGACACAGTTGCCATGGACTCGTACAGATCTTCATCCCCTTCCCCTTCAATGTCACCGCACAGCTCCTCTTTGAGGTGAGTCTTCAACATGTCAGCTGTCTCCTGAAAAGAGCAAATGAGACAATCAGCAAGAATCCCCAAAGAGAGGGGGGACTCAGAAACAATGCTGCCAGTTGAACTGAGAGGTGGCATGGGGGATGGCCAGGAACATTAGGGGGAGTGGAGTCAGCAAAGAACCCTCAAAGTATTCCTGCTCCCAGGGACCATTCTCAGAGACTGGAGCCATTTAGAGCCACTAAAGATCCACTTAAGGGCCAAATCAGGTTGGCATCAGAATTTAAAAAGCAAAAGAACTGTGGATGATAGAAATCAGAAACAAAAACAGAAATTGCTGGAAAAGCTCAGCTTCGGTGAACAGAAATCAGAGTTAACATTTCGGGTCCAGTGACCCTTACTCAGAATTGATGGTAGATCGGAAAAAATTGGTTTTTATGCAGAAGATAGGGTGGAGGGGAGGGGGTAAGGAATAAATGATAGGTGGAGATAGAGCCCAAAGAGACAGAACAGTCAGACAGATAAAGGAGTGGATAATGATCACTTGGGGACTTTGGCACTGTCAGGGGAGGGCACTGGGAGAGCATAGCGCTGTCAGAGGGCAGAACAGCACTGTCAGGGGCTGGCACTGGGACAGTACACCACTGTCAGGGCAGCACTGGGAGAGAATAGCACTGTTAGAGGGCAGCGCAGTACCATCGGGAGCAGAACAACACTGTCGGGAGCAGCATTGGGAGAGTACGGCATTGTCACAGGAGCAGTACTGAGTGGGCACAGCACTTTCAGAGACATTAAAAAACCATGATCATTTTGATTTGGTAATTATCACAACTTTTTCCGTGGGATATAGGAACATAGGAGCAGAAACTCAGCCTCTCAAGCCTGCTCTGCAATTCTCGACCACGGCTGAACATCTACTTCAAAACCATATTCCCATGCTCTCCCCATATCCCTTGATGCCATTAGTGTTTAGATACCTATTAAACCCTCTCTTGAAATTACTGGATGACTGAATTTCCACAGGCCTCTGGGATAAAGAATTGCAAAGATTCACCATCTGCAGAATGATGATGTTCCTCCATGTTTCAGTCTTAAATGATTTGCCTTTTCTTCTGAGACTGTGTCCCCTGGTTCACCCAGGGGAAACATTCTTTCTGTGCCTGCTCTGTCCATTGTTTTAAGAATTTTGTAAGTTTCTATAAGATTGTTTCTCATACTTCCAAACCCCAGAGGTTACAGGCCCAGATGCTTCAATCTCTCCTCTCAGAGCAGTCCCACATCTCTGGAATCAATCTGGTGAACTTCTGTTCCACTCCCTCTATGGCAAGTATATCCTTCATTAGGAAAGAGAACACCAGAAATGGAGACAAGACTCAGGTGTGGTCTCAGGGATTTCTTTACTCCTGTACTCAAATCCTCTTGTGACGAATTTTAACGTATCACTTTTCCATTTAATGTGCCATTTGTCATCAAAATTGCATGCTACCCCCACCACTAATGTTTAGTGACTCATGAACAATAACACACAGGTCCTGCAGCCCACCTTCCTGCAAAAATGCTATCCCCTATTCCCAATTCCTTCGCCTCCGCCGCATCTGCTCCCAGGATGAGGCATTCCACTCCCGTACATCTCAGTTGTCCTCATTTTTCAAGGACCGTAACTTCCCCTCCTTGGTGGTCGAGAACGCCCTCAACCGTGTCTCCCACATCTCCCGCACCTCATCCCTCACACCCCGTCCACGCAATAAAAACCAAAAAAGAATCCCCCTCGTCCTCACGTACCACCCCACCAACCTCCGGATCCAACGCATCATCCTCCGACACTTCCGCCATCTGCAATCCGACCCCACCACCAAAGACATCTTTCCCTCCCCACCTTTATCTGCTTTCCGGAGGGACAACTCTCTCCGTGACTCCCTTGTCCGCTCCACACTCCCCTCCAGCTCCACCACACCCGGCACTTTTCCCTGCAACCGCAGGAAGTGCTACACCTGCCCCCATACCTCCTCCCTCACCCCCATCCCAGGCCCCAAGAAGACTTTCCACATCAAGCAGATGTTCACCTGCACATCTGCCAATGTGGTATACTGCATCCGCTGTACCCGGTGTGGCTTCCTCTACATCGGGGAAACCAAGCGGAGACTCGGGGACCGCTTTGCAGAACACTTACGCTCGGTTCGCAACAAACAACTGCACCTCCCAGTCGCGAACCATTTCAACTCCCCCTCCCATTCCTCAGACGACATGTCCATCCTGGGCCTCCTGCAGTGCCACAACGATGCCACCCGAAGGTTGCAGGAACAGCAACTCATATTCCGCTTGGGAACCCTGCAGCCCAATGGTATCAATGTGGATTTCACAAGTTTCAAAATCTCCCCTCCCCCTACCGCATCCCAAAACCAGTCCAGCTCGTCCCTGCCTCCCTAACCTGTTCTTCCTCCCACCTATCCCCTCCTCCCACCTCAAGCCGCACCTCCATCTCCTACCGACCAACCTCATCCCGCCCCCTTGACCTGTCCGTCCTCCCTGGACTGACCTATCCCCTTCCTAACTCCCTACCTACACTCACCTTTCCTGGCTCCATCCCCGCCTCTTCGACCTGTTTGTTTCCTCTCCACCTATCCTCTCCTCTATCCCTCTTCTATCCACCTCCCACTCTCTCCCTATTTATTTCAAAACCCCCTTCCCCTTCCCCTCCCCCTTTTCTGATGAAGGGTCTAGGCCCGAAACGTCAGCCTCTCTGCTCCTATGATGCTGCTTGGCCTGCTGTGTTCATCCAGCCCTGCACCTTGTTGTCTCGGATTCTCCAGCATCTGCAGTTCCTACTATCTCTAACACACAGGTCCCTTTGGGCACTTCCCAACCCCACCCACTACTTAAGATGTTTTTTGCCTTTCTGTCTCACCATGTCTTTGGATTAAGATGTTATTAATACTATTGACAGAAACTGTTCTCTCTGGTAGGGAGCTGAGTTAAAAACAAGGGGAGAAAATATTCACAGTACACCCCACTGGGGAGTTGATCATTGGGAAGCGATGCTTCACCACAGTCACTGACATGAGTTCCTTCACATCTGCCTGAATTTCATCCGTAACTCAGCACTTCAGAACTTTGTTATTTCAAAAATATACTTTAAATTCATAAAAAAAACTTTATATACATACATAGTCACTGGAGCAGGTCTTTATATATGGAGAACAAACAAATCCAAGGCATTTCTTACTTATACAAGACTATATTTACATACATTTGGGGTCCCAGGAGGGTCCCATAACTGATTGGAGCCTCCCCCACACCCAACCACCGGTTCAGTTTCACATTCAGCTTCCACAATCCCTTGCTAGCTCACTGACCATCCTGTAGATGACAGTCAGCCAGCAGGAGTCAGAGGTCAGAAAAAAACACTGGCTTGACTTTGGTGGGTTTGACCGGGAATGTGCGGGACACAGACAGGAAATCTATTGTTGAGTGGATAGGACCGTTTGGCTGCAACCAGCTGTAGCTACACTGTGCTCCATCTGCAGGAGTACTGGAGACATCATGCAGCTTAGACACTTTAACCATTTCCATCAGGAATCTGGAACAGCAATTGCTTCCCCACCAAGCAAATCAAAGGTCAAATCAAAGACAGAGAACGGTTTCTGTCAATAGTATTAATAACATCTTAATCCAAAGACATGGTGAGACAGAAAGGCAAAAAGAACAGAAGTTCACCAGATTGATTCCAGAGATGTGGGACTGCTCTGAGAGGAGGGATTGAAGCATCTGGGCCTGTAACCTCTGGGGTTTGGAAGTATGAGAAACAATCTTATAGAAACTTACAAAATTCTTAAAACAATGGACAGAGCAGGCACAGAAAGAATGTTTCCCCTGGGTGAACCAGGGGACACAGTCTCAGAAGAAAAGGCAAATCATTTAGGACTGAAACATGGAGCAACATGGAGGCCGTGGCTTGACCATTTCTTGTAGCTGCTGAGGTGTGGTACATCACACTCCTGGCAGAAAAAGGAGGTCCACATTGGCACTGACCAGATAAGCTAATGTGGAGACAAATCGCATAGTGGATTTAACACTACTGACGTTGATGCTGGCAATTTTAAAACCCATTTTGAGATTTTATAGAATTACCCTTAGACCCAATGTCCGTTCGCCCATGGTCTTTCACTGGGGGCGTCCCTGCATCCCCATGGTGTGGGAAAACTGTTGGGCATTCTCAACACTGAGGCTGCTATGCTGTTCCTCCCTCGGGGGCATTGCCTTGATCCAATGTCATCGGAGTGAGGCGAAGCCATGAAGACCCAATTCAGAGTCCAACAGAGGGGCTGTCGTACTCTGCTCCTTATTTGGCGCATCACTGCTCCCGGTTGCCGAGAGCTGTGGTGCCATGGGTACCCTTTGGTCGTTGGGTCTTACTGAGCCCTCACGCCGTCTGGTGTTTCCGAATTGGAGATGCTCCTCTCTTGCTCTCTCTCTCTCCCCACCCACCCACCGTGGTGCTGTGCCTCTTTTTTTTGTTGGTGGACGTCCATCCGCACGTCTTCATCATCAGAGGAGCTGCCTCTTTCCATTGTGCTGTGGGCCTGCGGGGCCCAATGTGTTTTCATTTTCTGGTTGTTTCTCACCATATCCACTTCCCTAACTTCCTTTGTTTCCTCCTCCTCCATTGACTCCGTTTGTTCAGGATGAGGTTAGGTTGGTTCTGTGCCTCCACGCTGGCTTCCTTTTGCTCTTCTGGGTGGCTTTCATTTCAGTTTTCTGGCTGGAGGTGGCACCTTACTGTTCTTTGGGAGTCTACAGCTTGCATTGCCACTTCTGGCCATCTGACTGTATGTGGCAGTCCCTGTATTTGGCAGCCCTTGTACAGGTGGCCAGCTTTCCGACACAAGTTGCAGCTCTTGGCCTCCTTGCAGTCGGGTGACCCTTCTGTTTGCAGTTTCTGCAGAGGGTCACTTTGTAACATAGAACATAGAACATAGAACATTACAGCGCAGTACAGGCCCTTCGGCCCTCGATGTTGCGCCGACCTGTGAAACCAATCTGAAGCCCATCTAACCTAAACTATTCCATTATCATCCATATGTTTATCCAATGACCATTTAAATGCCCTTAAAGTGGGCGAGTCTACCATTTTTGCAGGCAGGGCATTCCACGCCCTTACTACTCTCTGAGTAAAGAACCTACCTCTGACATCTGTCCTATATCTATCACCCCTCAGTTTAAAGCTATGTCCCCTCGTGCTAGCCATCACCATCCGAGGAAAAAGGCTCCCACTGTCCACCCTATCTAATCCTCTGATCATCTTGTATGTCTCTATCAAGTCACCTCTTAACCTTCTTCTCTCTAACGAAAACAGCCTCAAGACCCTCAGCCTTTCCTCATAAGACCTTCCCTCCATACCAGGCAATATCCTGGTAAATCTCCTCTGCACCCTTTCCAATGCTTCCACATCCTTCCTATAATGCGGTGACCAGAACTGTACGCAATACTCCAAGTGCGGCCGCACCAGAGTTTTGTGCAGCTGCAACATGACCTCATGGCTCCGAAACTCAATCCTTCTACCAATAAAACCTAACACACCGTACGCCTTCTTAACAACGCTATCAACCTGGGTGGCAACTTTCAGGGATCTATGCACATGGACACCGAGATCTCTCTGCTCATCCACACTACCAAGAATCTTACCATTAGCCCAGTACTCCGTATTCCTGTTACTCCTTCCAAAGTGAATCACCTCACACTTTTCCGCATTAAACTCCATTTGCCATCTCTCGGCCCAGCTCTGCAGCTTATCTATGTCCCTCTGTAACCTGCAACATCCTTCCGCACTATCCACAACTCCACCGACTTTGGTGTCATCCGCAAATTTACTAACCCATTCTTCTACGCCCTCATTCAGGTCATTTATAAAAATGACAAACAGCAGTGGCCCCAAAACAGATCCTTGAGGTACACCACTGGTAACTGAACTCCAGGATGAACATTCCCCATCAACCACCACCCTCTGTCTTCTTGCAGCTAGCCAATTTCTGATCCAAACTGCTAAATCACCCTCGATCCCATGCCTCCGTATTTTCTGCAATAGCCTACCATGGGGAACCTTATCAAACGCTTTACTGAAATCCATGTTAGAGTTCTGAATTTATGATGATGTGAGAAGTGCCTCAAATTGAGGACTCTGTCCTCTCCACAATCTTGAGGTTTAGTTCAGGTGGGTCAGTGGGGCATGGGATTTAGGATGAACACAGCAGGCCAAGCAGCATCAGAGGAGCAGGAAAGCTCTCCCTGTTTATTTCGAATCCCCTTCCCCTCCCCCATTTCTGAAGAATGGCTGCACTTTGGGAGATCAAATGTTAAGGAAAACTATACAGTAAACGACAGGACCCTGAACAGCACCGATGTACAGAGGGACTTTGGGGTTCAAGTCCATAGCTCCCTGAAAATGGTCACACAAGTAGATAGGCTAGAAGGTGTATGCCATGCTTGACTTTATTGGTCGGGGAATTGAGTACAACAGTCAGGATGTTATGTTGCAGCTTTATAAGACTTTGGTTATGCTACACTTAGAGTACTGCATTCAATTCTGGTCACCACATCACAGGAAGGATGTGGAGGCTTTGAAGAGGGTGCAGAAGAGGTTTACCAGGATGCTGCCTAGATCAGAGGGTATGAGCTAAAAGGAGAGGCCAGAAAAACTCGGTTTGTTTTCTCTGCAGCGGCGGAGGCTGAGGGGAGACTTGATAGAAGTCTATAAAATTATGAGATGCACAAATTGAGTTGATTGTCAGTATCTTTTTCCCAGAGTTGAAATGTCTAAAACTAGGGGCCATGCATTTAAGGTGAGAGGGGGAAAGTTCAAAGGTGATGTCAAGAGCAAGGTTTTTACACAGAGAGTGGTATGAGTCTGGAACACACTGCCAGGGGTGGTGGTGGAGGCAGATAGTATCATGGGATCTTTTATGATGAATTAATAATTTCGCTCAGAAATCTCTAAAGAAAATAAACTCATTGTTTCCTTCTTTTACCCTATGTAAATCCTGCCGTTTTTCTTTATCCAGGGAATAATGATGACTGCAATTCATTAACACCTCATTCTAACCAGACAAATTCCTGGTAATCTCTGACCAATTAATGCATTTAACGAATGTGAAAGTTGAGTGTTTCAAACTGCCTTTATCTACTGTTACCATCAAGCATGAACTTGTGCTCAGTCACACATCTTGCACATGTTAGGGAAATGGCCTGTCACATCCACTCACAATTAACCCTTTAGTTGGAGCTACACTATTAACTTGCCCAAAGAGATTTTGGCCAATTGTGGAAAACTAGACTCAAATTTTTTGGAGATTTTCCAGGTTGACCTGAAAGACTATTCTCTCCTTCAGCAGGGCAGCTTTGATTGTCAGCTGCCAGAGGAGGGACCTCCCTCCTGACGTGGGGTCACAAACTCCACCTGAAGCCTTTTTTTTCTTCTATTCATTTGTGGAATGTGGGCATTGCTGGCTGGCCAGCATTTATTGCCCATCCCTAGTTGTCCTTGAGAAGGTGGTGGTGGGCTGCTTTCTTGAACCACTGCAGTCCACCTGATGGGAGTTGACCTACAATGCCATTAGGGAGGGAATTTCAGGATTTTGATACAGCGACAGTGAAGGAACAGTGAGTTATTTCCAAGTCAGGATGGTGAGTGGCTTTGAGGGGAATTTGAAGGTGGTGTTCCCATATGTCAGCTGACCTTGTCCTAGATGCAAGTGGCCATGGGTTTGGAAGGTGCTGTCTGAGGATCTTTGGTGAATTTCTGCGGTGCAACTTGTAGATAGTACACATTGCTGCTACTGAGTGTCGGTGGTGGAGGGAGCAGATGCTTCTGGATGTGATGCCAATCAAGCGGGCTGCTTCGTCCTGGGTGGTGTCAAGCTTCTTGAGTGTTGTTGGGGCTGCACTCATCCAGGCAAGCAGGGAGTATTCCATCACACTCCTGACTTGTACCTTGTAGATGGTGGAGAGGCTTTGAGGAGTCAGGAGGTGAGTTATTCGCTGCAGTATCCCCAGCTTCCGACCTGCTCTTGTAGCCACGGTGTTTATGTGGTGAGTTCGGTTGAGTTTCTGGTCAATGATAACCCCCAGGATGTTAATAGTGGGGGATTCAATGATGGTAACACCATTGAATGTCAAGGGGTGGTGGTTAGATTGTCTCTTATTGGTGATGGTCATAGCCTGGCCTTTGTGTGGCGCAAATATTACTTGCCATTTGTCAGCCCAAGCCTGGATATTGTCCAGATCTTGCTGCATTTGAACACAGATTGCTTCAGTATCTGAGGAGTCACAAATGGTGCTGAACATTGTGCAATCATCAGCGAACATCCCCACTTCTGACCTTATGATGGAGGGAAGATCATTGATGAAACAGCTGAAGATGGTTGAGCCAAGGACAGTTCCAATTTCCATACTCCTGGACAGTATCCTGAGGAACTCTTGCAGAGATGTCCTGAGGCTGACATGATTGACCTGCAACAGCCACGACCATCTTCCTATGTGTCAGGTATGACTCCAACCACCAGACAGTTTGCCCCCTTATACCCATTGAGTCCAGTTTTGCTGGGACCGATGGCTGAGCCCAGCCAGGATTGGCACTCCCACCACTGACCTTTACAGTGGTGGTCAGGACTACTGACCTCCACGTAATATTCTGCTCCAGCAAAAATTTCAAAAGACGGGTTGATAAAGGCTCACAGTTGAGGAAATTAAGGGAATATAGACATAATATGTAGATGTGGGGCTAAGCATGGCTGCTCTTTCATTGATCAGATGAAGAATAATTCACTCTTATTTCTTCCCAGACCTGCTGAGTTTCTCCAGCAATTTCTGTTTTTGTTGCTCTTTCACTAGTCAGGCTGAACAATCTTTTTTTTTGCTGTTAGTGTCTATTCAAAAACATGGTGTTGATCGGCAGTGGGGCGGGAGGCATGTGGACGGTAGTAGTGATTCAAAACAAAGTAGACTGTTGTTAGGTGGGCTTTGTACTGAAATATTCTGACAACATGTTCATGGTAGAAAGCCTTGACCCTGACCTGAGTGAAACCCACTTACTGTGTTTGAGGAACAGAGCAAGCCTTACCACATACTCATCCATGAATTGCCGCAGGTCTCCATACCCATTCTTCTCTGCCATGTTGTTTGGATAATCCCCATGTCTGTTGGCCACGCTGTAAGCCTGCAATGCTCCTGGACACTGCAGAAGTAGGGCAGTCAGGTTCTTCAAACCATACATGGCTGCAAAGTGAAGCAGGGTTGGGAGCTCTTCATCTCGCTGAGCTGTGTGCATAATAAAGGCTTCATCAGCACGTTGATACTCATTAGGCCTCCCAACATTTTCGAAGCAGACCTACAGATCTGTCTTTCAATTTTATTCTTTCACTGAATGTGCTTGTTGTCAGAAAGGCCAGTAAATTATAGCTCATCCTAATGGAGCCATTAAGGCCGGGACTGCTGTGTCTGGGTTCACTACGCCGACCCTCACCCTGTGATACGAACAATAGCCGGCGGTGGAAATGGGGGAGGGGGACGGGAATTCTGGAACTGGGTCTGGCCACTATTTTTAAAGCCCACCCAATTCCATTCCAACATGGTCAGAGGCATTAGAATCCAACTTCCAGAGTCCAACTCATCACATGGACCATCAGGGGTCTGGGAATAACTTCAAATACTCACTCGTCGATAGATCATCCTCTTCTAACTGGTTAATTCCAAATATGTGCAATCCATTAGCTGGCATGTTTCTCCTCAGTGACTCTGTCAGTAGTTTATCCAGTGTTTCTCTGTTATACGGTACAATATGGAAAGCCTGTGGTCAGGAAGCACAAAGGGATTTATACTTCAGAGATGCATCAGTGATAGGGGTTAGTCATTTACAGTTGTTCCTTTTTCTTATTCTTTTATGGAATTTGAGCATTTGTTGCCCATCCCTTATTGCCCTTGGAATCCCTATTTCACAGGTTAAAGAGTCAACCACGTTGCTATGGGTCTGGGAGTCATGTGTAGGCCAGACCAGGTAAGAATGGGAGTTTCCTTCCCTGAAGGAAGTTAGGGAACAGATGGGTATTTACAACAATCAACAATGGTTTTATGGTCATCATTAAACCTTAATTCAAGATTTTTACTGAATTCAAATTCCATCTTCTGCCATGGCAGAGATTTGAACCCGGGTCCCCAGAACGTTACATGGGTTGCGGGATTAATACACTAGCCATAATACTACTACTCCCCAAATGTTTTGTATTTAAGGAAAATAACATCTGTCATCCGAACTGACATGCCAAATGGTGCAATGCTGGTGTGGATCAGATTGTTGTGGTAAATTCAGAGGTTTTATAATTCGGATTTTTACAGAATCCTTGGGTTGAACTTTTCCTGCAGAAAACATGGGATTAGCCATTCATCCCTCAAATCTGTGCTAGCCTTTGTCTCCATTTGAGTAAACTCATTTTCAATCCCCTGTTTGTTCCTCTTTGTTATGCTACTTTGTCAAATAAGCATTGAGATTGTTGGCACAAAAACTGTTTAGATTTCAAACTGAATCAGCTTAAAAATTTAATCCGAAATCAGGAAGGAAACATTGGGGTAGTGGTAACCAATGTTCCCTCAAGTGGGAGGTTCGGTGCACAACAACTGGAAAATAACTCTGCGGAGAAACAATTAGAAGGAGCATGGTGGTAACATCACTGGACGAATACACCAGAGGCCCAGACTTGTGTTGTGGAGAGAAACTAGTTCAAATCCTACCATGGCAACTGATGACATCCAAATTCCGTTCTGAAATCTGGAAATCTTAAATCAGTAATGGTGACCACAAGAATTGCCAAAACACAAGGAATCATTTTAAAACTAAACTTGTTGCAACCAACTGAGGGGAGTGGGCTGAATAACCAAGCACAGCCTTTCATACTTCCACATTTGAGGATTGTTGGTTTGAGGAATCCCAGCTGGAACCATAGTAGATTGGGGAATCTTGTCCAAGGACTGGTCCTAACAAGTAATACCCAGAGTGACACCGTATGCAATATACTCACAAAACACTGCACTACAGTAAAAATTTACAAGAAAAGTCGATTGTTAGACATCATTAAGAAAGGAATTAAATCTGTTGAATGGTCAATCATATTGAGGAATGAAAGAAGGAGGCCATTCAGCCCCCAACCTGTTTAGTTAGATCATGGCTGATGTGCATCTTAACTCCATCTCCCTGTTTCTGTTCTTCATCTCTTAACACATTTGCTTAACTAAAATCCATTCTTCTAGATTTTGAAATTTTCTATTGATTTAGTCTCAAAAGATATTGGGCTAAAGAGTTCCAGATTCTCACTACTCCTTGCATCACACAGTGTTTCCTGACATTAACCTGAACAGTTGAACTTCACATTGAAGGTTATGTCTCATTGATCTGGACTTCCCCAACAAAGGTTCTCTCTATCTTCCCTTTCAAATAATTTCATTATCATTAGCACTGCAATTGGATCGTCCCTTAATCTTCTATACTCAATGGATATTTTCCTCAAAAGTATATTTTATCCATATTGCTTGTATAATAAATACTTGACAAATCATTTGCACTAATAGAATTAACAGCAAAATCCAACTTGGTTTTGTACAACACGTTCCTCACTTTTGTTATTCAATACAACAGCGACAGCCTTAATATTTACAATATACATTCCATGTTAGATGCTTAGCTCAAGGGCAAAACATTTCAAATGTAAAATTACAGAAAAGTGTGATAGAAATAAATGTTTCTCCCTGCACCATGTTCCACTCTGAACTGTTTCAAAGCAATTTCAGTACTCATGATCTTCACAGTGTATGTTCAAACAGCCCAAGGGGTTCTACAGTTTCCAGTCCCTTGGTGTGTTGTGGCTGGAGGCCTGATGCAGCAACCTTTCCCTACAGCACCTTTGTGACACCTGCCTCAAGCTTTAGTACATTCTTCAACACATAGTCCTGCACTTTGGTCTATCTCTACCTACAATTTAGCGATTTTAGCCTGGTACCATCCTGGTGAATGTGTACTGTCTGTTTCCATGGTCACTGAATCCATCCCACAGTATGATGCCCAGAACCCACTGCAGTCTGACTAGAAATGTACACTCTTATACCATAACTTCCACTCCATAGCATTCTTGTTCTTGGCTAACATTCCAGTAAACTTTTCAATTATTATTTGTGTCTGTTCACCAACATTAGTACTTGAATCCCTAAATCTCTCACCATTTCCACTCCTCACCATTTAGAAAACCTTCTTCTTAGGGCATACATTTCTGAGACCCAAAGTGAATGATTTCACACTTGCCCACACTGAACCATTGAGGAAGTTCTGACCAGCAAGCCCATCCTTGCTCTCAAAGATCAGAAACAATAGAAAGAAGATTGTAGAACGGTGTGGAAGCAGGCCATTCGACCCATCAAGTCCATACCAACCCTCTGAAGAGCAGCCTGCCCAGGCCCATTGCCCCTATGCTATTCCTGCAAACCTGCATTTCCCATGGCTAACCCACCTTGCCTGCACATCTCTGGACACTATGAGCAATTTAGCACGGTCAATCCATCTAACTGCACATCTTTGGACTGTGAGAGGAAACCAAAGCACCTGGAAGAAACCCACGCAGACATGAGGAGAATGTGCAAACTCCACACAGACAGTTGCCCGGGGGTGGAAATGAACCCAGCTCCCTGGTGCTGTGAGGCAGCAGTGCTAACCACTGAGCCACCATGCTGCCTAAGGATGGAAGAACATCCACTGCCAAATTGAAATTAATGGAGCAAGAAATTCTAAAACCCTGAAAATACAAGTAATATGAGCAGGAATTGACCATTCAGCCAAATGGAGCCTGCTCTGTTGTTCTGTACAATCTTGGCTGACTTTGAGCATCCAGTCCACTTTCCCACTCACTCCCTACGTCCCTTGATTCCTGAAAGACCAAACATTGGTCAAGTCCAGCCTTAAAAATATTCAATAATGGTATGTTCTCAACACTTCGGAATAGACAATTCCAAAGATTCACAATCCTTTGAGCTGTTTATTTCTTCTCCTATCAGGCCTAAATGATTGGTGTCTAATCCTGACACTGTGCCCCTTGTTGGAGGAACCATCTCTCACCATCTACTTTGTCAATCCCCTTCAGAATCTTTTAAATAGAACAAAAAATTGCAGATGCTGGAAATCTACAACAAAAACAGAGGCTGCAGCAGGAATTCAGCCAAGAGTGGCAGCATCAGGAGAGAAAACAGAGTTAATGTCAGGGACAACAAGGTGCAGGGCTGGATGAACACAGCAGGCCAAGCAGCATCATAGGAGCAGAGAGGCTGACCCTCATACTTATTATATAATATGTATAATTGGCAATATTACTGCCCTTTTCAAATCCAAACTTTATTGTGACCCTGGGAGGAGTGAGATAAGGAAATTCAGGTCACTCTTCCTAATTGGATTTTAACACAACACCAAAGACACCAACAGCAGTTCGGATATATTACTCTAAGGATTAACCTCCCTGGCTCTCTCAATAATCGCTCAGATTAGACACTTCCTCTCTCTACTTCCTTGGCTGGTACTTCCCCTTTTGTAAGGCTACATTGCTATTTCCATTTCTTCTCTTCCTTTATTCTAACTTCAACAGCAAGCTCCTGTAACCACAGACTCCTACACAGAACTTCATTATCAGAGCCAGCCATAGACACCCAATCACAAGTTTGTTCTTTTGCCTTTCTCTCGAATTTTATATCAAGGTAACAGAGTTCATTTCTGACATCCAGAGTCTGTGTCTGCTCCCAGGTCCAACATAGCCACAGACTAAGATACAGAGTAAAGCTGTCTCTGCACTGTTCCCATCAAACACTCCCAGAACAGCAACAGCGTAAGGTTAGATACAAAGTAAAGCTCCTCTTACACTTTAAATTAAAAGTAAAGCTCCCTCTTTACTGTTCCCCATCAAATATTCCCAACCCAGAGACAGCACCAATTTAGACATTGAGTGAAGTTCCCTCTACTCTTTTAAACTGAAATTAACCTGTCCCATTATACCTTTCTAGGACAGGTATAGCATGGGGTTAGAAAGAGAGAAAAGCTTCCTCTATATTATCCCCTAGGACAGCTACAGAACAGAGTTAGATACAGTGTATATCACCCTCTAGACTGTCCCCATCAAAGATTCCCAGGGCAGGTACTGCACAGGGTTAGATACAGAGTATATTTTCCTCTACTCTTTTAAACTAAAAGTAAAGCTCTCTCTATGCTATCCCCATCCGTCACTCCCAGGACAGGTACAGCACAGAGTCAGACACAGGGTTAATCTCCCTCCAGTCTTTTAAGTTGAAAGTAAAGCTCCCTCTTGTTTCAAACTCAAAGTAAAGCTGACTTTACACTATCCCCATCAAACACTCCCAGTTCAGGTACAGCATAGGGTTAGGTACAGAGTAAAGCTTCCTTTACACTGTCCCCCATCAAACACTCCCAGGACAGGTACAGCACAGGGTTTACTTATACAGTAAAGCTCCCTCTGCACTATCTATTTAACACTCCAGGTGAAGTTGCAGCTCAGGTTAACTGGAAAGGTTCCTCTACAATGTCACAATCTCACATGACACTACCGAATCAATGTTATATTTTTTCCATGCCCCTCACTGAGTTCCTCAATCTCATTGCAAATTTGGGGAAATTTTGTTTTAAATTTCAGACCCTTACAGCCACAAGGTCTTGAGATTTTGTTCTAAAACTCTAAACTCTAAACAATAGATTTGAACCTAAAACCAAGGAAAGCAGGTTTATTTACACATCAGCAAGCCAATGTCAGTGGGTCAAACTACAAATACATGGTTACTTCCTTCCTCCCTTCTCGATACCAGTTTGCAGATGCCAAACTATAAATTCAACCAATCGTAGTCATTGCCCTGTCTAACAACATGTTCTATCTAATCACAGTCTGTTAAACAACAGACTCTGTCGAAACAAATCTCAGTGCATTCAGCTTTTACTTTTATGATAATATTCTAATGACACTGCCCATCTCAATTTCTGATAAGTGAGTTAATCTTTGGACCATAAACTGATACAGAATATAAAAGAAGGCTGTTTGGCTGGGCTTTCTAATTAGCCCTGTTCCCCTGCAATTATTTAATTATTTATCCAGCTCCCTTTTGAAGTAATTTCAATTTCCTTCTAATAATCTTTCAAATAGTGCATTTCATTATGTAAGTACACGCCATACTAAAGTAAAATTCTCATCCCAGCTTTTGGTTGTTTTACTTTAAATCTGTGTTTTTGATTCTTCTGCCTATCAGGAACAATTTCACTTTACCTATTCTGGATGTTTTCTAATTCAACCTGTTCGGAAATATTATTACACACCTTTGAAGCTGATGGGACTTGAACCCAGGCCTCCTGGTCCAGAGGTAGGGACATTACTATGCAGCACCAGAGTCCCTCAATCAAACTGATCAGCATTGAACCTGTACTAAATCCCCACTCAACTTTCTCCACTTGTGCAAATTGACACCTGCTTTGCTAATCATTCAACATAAGCCCCACACTCTCCAGTCAATCTTCATTGCACCCTCTTCTTCTTGGGATAGAGTTGATTTTGGAACTTGCTGGAACCAGTTTACAGGTGTTGTAGAAATGTTAACCCACTTGCCTGGCACATAAATTCCACAGGATTGACAGCATTCCTCAGGAGGTTTTCAATTTCTTCCATGTCAGTGTAGTAAACTAGAGTTGCCGAGCTTACTTTCAAATCCCCTGAGTATATAGTGAGTGTAATCAATCCTGAAGGCATGTCTGTGAAACATAAGGCAGAGGTGTTAGATATTCCATCATTGAAAATACCCTCACATGCTTTAACAATCAGATCAGCCATGATGTTAACAAATGGCAGAACAGACTTGAGGGGCCAAATGGCCTTTTCCTGTTCCTAACTTGAATGCTCACATATTCAGCAGACCTTTCTGCTAATCCATTGTAATTTTGAGATTTGGGTGTTTACTAATTTTGGATGAGATCACAATTCCTCTGAACCGGAATGTACTCGCCGGTCATTCATGGCAGAATCCCTTACATTTACCAAATAGATTTATTTGCATAAGAAAACAGGGCATTTTCTTAGTCAGAATTGAGCAGGAATTTGGGGAGGGTGGCTAGTGGCGATACATGGGGAAGCACAGGAAGAATGTTCTGAGGAGCTGGAATTACCATGAAGATGGTAATTTGGAGCTGCACCCACACATGGCTGTGGGCAGACACTGGACTAGTGGAAGTTCAACAGGGAGTTGGAGGGAAGTTGGCTAATGACGACAGTAGTTGCAAAGTCCAATGAAAACAATAACTCAGGGAAGCTGGTGTCCGACAATGTCATAGAGTCATAGAGATCTACAGCAAAGAAAAAGGGCCTACCGAGCCTATGATTTTTCTGATGAAGGGTCTAGACCCGAAACGTCAGCTTTCCTACTCCTCTGATGCTGCTTGGCCTGCTGTGTTCATCCAGCTCTACACCTTGTTACCTCAGATTCTCTAGCATTGGCAGTTCCTACTATCTCTGTAATAATTTTAACCCCCCCTACTGAGTCTATGTTAGTCAAAAACAACTATCTAACTATTCTAATCTCATTTTCCAAAATTTAGCCTGTAACTTTGTTTACCTTGGCATCCAAGTGCACATCTTAAATGTTATGAGGGTTTCTGTCTCTACCATCTTTCATGCAGTGAGTTCCAGACTCCCATGACCCTCTGGATGACAAAGGTTTTTCCTCACATCTCCCCTAAACCTTCTGCCCCTTAACTTTAAATCTAGGACCTCTTATCATTGATCCCTCCATCTAGGAGAAAAGTTTCTTCCTGTCTACCCTCATAATTAATACATCTTAGATGTCACCTTTCAATTTCCTCTGCTCTAAGGTAAACAATACCAGTCTGTTCAAAGTATGGAGCTGGAGGAACACAGCACGCCAGGCCGCATCACAGGAACAGGAAAGCTGACGTTTTGGGTCAAACCCTTCAGAAATCATTTCTTCAGAAAAGAAGGGTCCCGACCCAAAACCCCAGCTTTCCTGTTCCTCTGATGCTGCCTGGCCTGCTGTGTTCCTCCAGCTCCACACTTTGTTATCTCTGACTCCAGCATCTCAGTTCTTGATTTACCAGTCTATACAAGCTCTCTTTATAACTGAAACACTTGCTGCAAGGAATGAGCTGGAGTTCAGAGCTGGTTGACAGTCCCATTCCTTCTCACTTTGTCAATGTAAATCCCAGCTTGATAAAGAACAGACTGTAAGTGGCTTGGCTAGTGCATGAGAAATGTATTGCAAATGGTTTCATGATTCGTGCTAACGAATGAATGAAAAGTTTGAAAAAAAATGAGACATTTGTTTACTTGACTTAATGTCAGTTATTCATTCCTTATTGGTGTTTTTGATTCATTCCTTTTTATGATGTGATCATCAGTCCTTTCAAAGGAGTTACACACAAAATTGCCACCTCACACATCACATTAGAAAAATGGGGAGTTAAGAGTCTAATGATGACCATGAATCCATTGTCAATTTCGGGAAAACCCATCTGGTTCACTATGTCCTTTAGGGAAGGAAATTGCTATCCTTACCCGGTCTGGCCTACATGTGACCCCAGACCCACAGCAATATGATTGACTCTTAACTGCCCTCTGGGCAATTAGGGATGAGTAATAAACACCGCTGAGCCAGCGATGCCCTCTTCCCATGAATGAATAAAGAAAAAATATCTCCAACCATCAGTGGGCAGAAGGCAAAGATTGGGGATTGGTAGAAATAGGATCTTAAATGATAAAAAAAAACAAATAAACATCTCCAAAAGTGAATAAACAGGCTAATATTGAAAAAAACAGCGCTCAAACCAAGAAAAAGTTTCCACCATGGAAACTGGTGAAATTTTAAGTTAAACTAAAACATCTGGAATTGAATTCTAATCTCAGTGTTGGTGAGTGTAAAACAATTGTCAATTGTTGTAAAGTCCTATCCAGTTCACCGATGTCTTTTAGGGAAGGAAATCTGCTGTCCTTAATTGGTCTTGGCTGCGTATGACTCCAGATCTACAGCAATGTGATGATTCTTAACTAGCCTCTGAAATCCACTGAAGTTAGCCACTCTGTTCAAGGGCAATTAGGGTTGGGCATCAAATACCAGCCCAGCAAGTGACACCCACATCCCAGGGTTGTTGTCGTGGGTGATTTTAACTTCCCATATATTGACTGGGACTCACTTAATGCTTGGGGCGAGGATGGGGCAGAGTTTGTACGGAGCATCCAGGAGGGCTTCTTGAAACAGTATGTAGATAGTCCAACTAGGAAAGGGGCTGTACTGGACCTAGTACTGGGGAATGAGCCTGGCCAGGTGGTTGACGCCTCAGTAGGGGAGCAGCTCGGGAACAGTGATCACAATTCAGTAAGCATTAAGGTACTGATGGATAAAGATAGGTGTAGTTGTCAGGTGAAGGTGCTAAATTGGGGAAAGGCTAATTACAATAATATTAGGTAGGAACTGAAGAATGTAGATTGGAGGCAGATGTTTGAGGCCAAATCAACATCTAGTATATGGGAGGCTTTCAAGTGTAAGTTGCTGGGAACTCAGGTCCAGCACGATCCTGTAAGGATGAAGGATAAGTGTGGCAAGTTTAGGGAATCTTGGATAACAAGAGATATTGTGAGCATAATTAAAAAGAAAAAGGAGGCATTTATCAAGGCTAGGAGGCTGGGAACACACAAAGCAAGGGTGGAATACAAGGAAAATCGAAAGAAACTTAAGCAAAGAGTCAGGAGGGCTAAAAGGGTTCATGAAAAGACATCGGCCAACAGGATTAAGGAAAATCCCAAAGCTTTTTATACATATATAAGGAGCAATAAGGTTGGCCCATTCAAGGACAGGGAAGGGAATTTATGTGTGGAGCCAGAGGAAATGGGTAAGGTATTAAATAAGTACTTTGCATCAGTATTCACCAAAGAGAAGGACTTGGTGGATGATGAGTCTGGGGAAGGATGTGTAGATAGTTTGGGTTATGTTGAGATCAAAATGGAGGAGGTATTGGGGGTCTTGAAAAACATTAAGGTAGACAAGTCCCCAGGACCTGATGGGATATAACCCAGAATACTGAGAGAGGCAAGGGAGGAAATTGCTGGGACCTTGAGGGAAATCTTTATATCCTTACTGGTCCTAGAGGATTAGAGAATAGCCAATGTTGTTCCTTTGTTTAAGAAGGGTGGCAAAGATAATCCAGCTAATTACAGGCCGGTGAGCCTTACGTCAGTGGTAGGGAAATTATTGGAGAGGATTCTTCGAGACAAGATTTACTCCCACTTGGAAATAAGTGGGCAACCTGCTCCTATGATGCTGCTTGGCCTGCTGTGTTCATCCAGCTCTGCACCTTGTTGTCATGGTTTTGTGAAGGGTAGGTTGTATCTCACTAACTTGGTTGAGTTTTTCTGAGGAAGTGACGAAGATGATCAATGAGGGTAAGACAGTTGATGTTGTCTACGTGGACTTCAGTAAGGCCTTTGACAAGGTCCCTCATGGCAGGCTGATACAGAAGTTAAAGTTGCATGGGGTCAGAGGTGAGCTTGCAAGATGGATAAAAAACTAGCTCGGTCGTAGAAGACAGAGGATAGCAGTGGAAGGATGCGTTTCTGAATGGAGAGCTGTGACTATTGGCATTCCTCAGGGATCAGTGTTGGGACCTTTGCTATTTGTAATATATATAAATGATGTGGAGGAAAATGTAACTGGTCTGATTAGTAAGTTTGCCGATATCACAAAGGTTGGTGGAATTGCGGATAGTGATGAGGACCATCAAAGGATATAGCAGGATATAGATCGGTTGGTGACTTGGGCAGAGAAATGGCAGATGGAGTTTCATCTGGAAAAATGTGAGGTAATGCATTTTGGAAGGCCTAATCCAGACGGAAAATTTGCGGTAAATGGCAGAACCTTTAAGAGTACTGATAGGCAGAGGGATCTGGGTGTACAGGTACACAGGTCACTGAAAGTGGCAATGCAGGTAGAGAAGGTAGTCAACAAGGCATATGGCATGCTTTCCTTCATCGGCCGGGGCAATGAGTTTAAAAATTGGCGGTAATGTTGCAACTTTATAGAACCTTAGTTAGGCCATATTTGGGATATTGGTTTCAATTCTGGTCGCTACACTACCAGAAGGATGTGGTGGCTTTGGAGAGGGTTAAAAAAAATTACCAGGATGCTGCCTGGTATGGAGGGCATTAGCTAGTGAGCAGAGGTTGGAGAAACTTGGGTTGTTCTCACTGGAATGACGGAGGTTGAGGGGCAACCTGATAGAGGTCTACAAGATTATGAAGGGCATGGACAGAGTGGACAGTCAGAAGCTTTTTCCGAGGGTGGAAGAGTCAGTTACTAGGGGCCATAGGTTTAAGGTGCGAGGGGCAAGGTTTAAAGGTGATGCACGAAGCAAGTTTTTTTACACAGATGGTAGTGGGTGCCTGGAATTCGTTGCTGGGGGAGGTAGTAGAAGCAGATATAATAGTAACCTTTAAAGGGCGTCTTGACAAATACATGAATAGGATGGGAATGGAGGGATACGGGTCCCGGAAGGGTAGGGGGTTTTAATGTTGGAGGGCCGAAGGGCCTGTTCCTGTGTTGTAATTTCTTTTGATTAAAAAAGATGCAGTTTGAATGCAGCAGCTACAAGTGCATTACCTGAATAAACAATTGGCAACTGTCAGACTTTCAAGAAATCCTGCCGAGTAGTGAAGTTATAAACAAACAGTATGGGTTTGCGAGAGGGAATTGCTGGTGAACAATCTCTTTAAATTCTCTTTGAGGGCAGTAGATTGTGTAACTCCTGTTTATAGAGTTTTACTGGAGTGTCTAGAACAGGCTAAGGCCCTTATGGAACCTTATTCAACCAAATCATCAGAAACTGATTGCAGAATGGGAAGCAGAAAACCCAAGATTGGTTTATGATCCATGGAGGGGCCTTAGCTGAGAAGAGCTAAATGTTGGGTATGAAATGAAGGGAGTGAAGGTTCTTTTGCTCGAGGAGTACCTAAAAACAATTTACTGTTGTGTCCCAGCACCTATCTTCACCCACTTTGTACTGTTCCAGGAAGTGGTGCTAACCCAGACGAACAGGGAGAAGGGAATTCCCTCCCAAGGGCATTGTGAACAGCAGTTCAAGAAGGCAGATCACCACAACCTTCTCATGGACAACTAAGGATGGGCAATGTTTAGCTCACAAGCCAGTGGTATCCACATCCTATGATGAGAATGAAAAACAAAGAAACCCACTGTGGACCTGGATCCTGGTCCATGTCCTATTGCCATCTAGTTGTTGTAGGCATGGGAGGAGAGACATGTCACCTTCAATCACATGGAGAAAGAAACAAGGACCAGGTGGTAAGGCTGGGTTAGGCCTCACTGTCCATATTTTCTGCCCATTTCGATAAGAACCACGTCTGATTTTGGACAGTCTCATGGAGGAGAATCCTGACCTAAGTCTGCTGCGATTCTGAGCAAAGAACAACAAACAAGAATTGCAGGTGCCAAAAATCTGAAACAAAAGCTGGACATGACAGAAAGCTGGCAAGTTCAATTCACAGCCTGGCTATGGGATTTGGTTAGCCCAGTTGGATGGATGGCTGGTTTGCAATATAGAGTGACGCCAACAGCGTGTGTTCACTTCCAGCACTGGCCAAAGTTACCATGAAGGACTCTCCTTCTCAACCTCTTCCCTCACCTGAGGTTTGATGACCCTCAGGTTAAACCACCACTAGCCCTCTCTGTCCAATGAGAGAACAGCCCTCTGGTCGGGTAAGAATGTGGCAAATTTCCAGAATTGATTTTGGCTCCCTTTGTTTGACTCAAAAACAACTTATCTCTCCTCACCCAGGTGCTCCTGGACCTGCTGAGTCCAGAGGACATTGAGTCAGATTGGAGTCACATGTAGTCTTGACCAGGTAAAGATTCTAGATTCTCTTCACTGAAGAGCATTTGTGAAGGGATAGTTGGGTAATCTGTCTAGCATCAAGCCTACAGCTATCATGAATTATTTATAGAATTCAATTTAATGCATTGCCAGGATGCAATTGCAAACCCACATCTTGCTCATTTACATCACAAACCTTTCAACTATCCTTTCAGAAGAATCATGAGAAAGCAATTGATGGGTGTAAATCCTGCCATCCAGGAGAGTATTGGTTAGTTGGTGTAAAATATAAGAAATAGGGTAAGTCTCTGGGATATTGGAAAACTGCACATCTGTCATGTTGGGATCTCCATTCAGGAAAATGGGCAGAATCACCACTGAGTAGCAGAGTGCCATTTCCAAACACAGGGGTGTTCCTGTCCAGAAGTGGAAACTCTCCCCTATACACTCATACCATTTCGAAATTAAAACTGCTGAATCTAAATCTCCTGATTGTCATTTATATAAATGACATTCTGGACAGGCTCAAGAAAAGAAGACAGAAAAAACAAGACACTTGAAATGGAAACTGCTCTCAAGCTGGTATGGGCAAGATAGGCTGAATGGCCTCCTTCTGTGCTTTTATCTCCTTAAAGGCTGAGACTCTTTATCAAAGAAGAGTTTATTCATGCAATTATCCGGGACGTTCATGTATTTTTGAGACAGTATTTACAAGTTTCAATCAGACGCCATTTCCGCCACCTCCAGCAAGATGCCACCACCAGACACTTATTCCCCTCCCCTCCCTTGTCCGCCTTCTGCAGGGACCGTTCCTTTTGGGACACCCTGGTCCACACTTCCTTCACCCCCAACACCTCCCCACAGCCCTATGGCACCTCCCCCTGTAACCGACGAAGGTGCAACACTTCACCTGCACTTCCCAGAATCTAGTCTACTGCATTCGCTGCTCACAATGTGGTCTCCTCTACATTGGGGAAACGAAGCGTAGACTTGGCGACTGCTTCGCAGAACATCTACATTCTGGTCGCAAAAAAGACTCTGAAATACCTGTTGCCTAAAACTTGAATGCACCACCCTGCTCCCTGGCCAACATCTCTGCCTCTGGCTTGCTACAGTGTTCTAGTGAATTCCAACGCAACCTGGAGGAACAATACCTCATTTTCCGCTTGGGGTCCCTACAGCCCTCCGGACTCAATATTGAGTTCAATAATTTTAGGGCCTAAACTCTCCCATGTTCCAGCCCCCCACCCCACACACCAGGCCTTGTTACCACATAGCCTGCCACTACACACCCCCTGTTGTTAGTCACTAACAGTCCCCATTAACAACTACTCACCCTCCCAGTCTGATTGTTAGCAACTCCTTTGTCTGTCCAATTATCTTTCTCTCTCTTTGGGCTCTATCCTATCGTTTACTCCCTACCCTACCCACCTCCCTATTTTCTGCATATAAACTGACGTTTTCCTAGCCACCATCAGTTCTGAAGAAGGGTCACCGGACCTGAAACGTTAACTCTGTTTTCTCCTCCACAGATGCTGCCAGACCTGCTGAGCTTTTCCAGCAACTTTGTTTTTGTTCCTTATTTACAGCATCCGCAGTTCTTTTGGTTTTTACAAGTTTCAAGTCAGGCATTGGACAACAGGAGAAGTGAAGGAGGAACTGGATGAAAGCAGAACAGAAATGGATCTGAGTATGAATGTAAACTCTGTCCACTCGAGGCAAGTTTCTAGCTCTCAGAGCTGAGTCCTACCTGGCGTTTGTGCGGATAATGTGTACTCATTAACAAACACCGCTGGAACACGAACAGAAGCCTTTACACCCAATGCAAAGTCAATTTCACATTTTACTTTGGTGTCCAGTTTGACCTTCAGAATAACAAAAATCTGCTGTGGGGTCTGAAATTAAACACAGAACGATAGAGAACAGTTAGCATATTGTAGCAATACTAGCGAAACTTCCAATGTTTCAGAGATAGTAGGAACTGCAGATACTAGAGAATCTGAGATAACAAGGTATAGAGCTGGATGAACACAGCAGGCCAAGCAGCATCAGAGGAGCAGGAAAGCTGACGTTTCAGGCCTAGGCCCTTCTTCAGAAAAAGGCCCGAAACGTCAGCGTTCCTGCTCCTCTGATGCTGTTTGGCCTGCTTCATTCATCCAGCTCTACACCTTGTTATCTCAGAAACTTCCAATGTGTTGTTCATCAATGGAGCTACGTGCAACATTCTATCCTGTGACATGAATTATTGTTAAAAAATACATACAACTACAATAATTAATATATATAAAACCAAAATACTGTGGATTCTGGAAGTCTAAAATAATATTGCCAGCTTCAATAATTTGTTCTCTATCTTTCTATAATCTATTTCTACTCTGCCTTCTCTCTCTCCTTAATTCTTCCTGTGTGTCTACCTCTGTGGTATTTGGCCTGATTGTCACTGCTGGTATCTCATGGTAGCTACCACTCCCTGATGGTACGTGGCACAGAGTAAAGGTTATTTGAGGTAGTTTGCTGCCACCAATCCTCCTTTGTCTGTACTGTGTCTAAGGCCTGTCTAATGATCAGCAGTAGAGGATATCACCACTGGTGATTCTAAACAGAAAAGGCACTTGTCTTGTTATTAAAACAGCTTATTATAATAGCATCAACTGTAACTACACTATCAGTCAGGGTAGTTACTCAGTATTTTTTTAAATCAACCTGTTCTGGGATGTTATTACAGATTGCTAGAGTAGGTAAGACGTGAACCCAGGCTTCCTGGCTCACGGGTATGGACACTACCATTATTCCACAAGACTTCAGGGTAATTGCTGGGATTCTGGGGAACAGTATACAATACGTCTGCTCCCTATAATGACTCATGTCAAATCCCTTATCCTTAACTGAAGATTGTGTGGTATCATCAGATTGGATGGAGTGAGTACAACTTCAACATTAACTATTTCAGAACCAGTATCTTACACAATGCTCTGTCTTCCTACAATTTCCTATTTGACTTACACACACTTCTCTGAATTTGATTCAGCTATTTCTCCAGTTGCTTTCCCATTCTTTGGCCAAAACCCCTTTTGAAAGTCCACTGTCTCCTTAGACTTCTCTCTCCCTCTCTATACGGGAGGCACAGAATCTCACATTATGAGGATAGCTTATATTGGTATTGGCTTGTATTTCTGAAGTATTGAGGACTGAAGAACAATCTATGAAATCTTTACTATGAAGTTCTTAAAGCAGACACACAGAGGGAAACTGCTTCCTCTGGACAGGGAATCACAATGGCTCAGTGGTTAACAATGCTACCTCACAGCACCAGCAACCCAGGTTCAATCCCATCTACATGAAGTCTGCACATTCTCCCCATGTCTGCGTGGGTTTCCTCTGAACACTCAGGCTTCCTCCCACAGTCCAGTGATGTGCAGGCTAGGTGAATGAGCTATGGGAAATGTAGGGTTACAGGGATCTGGGTGGGATGGTCTTCGGAGGGTTGGTGTGGACTTGATGGGCCAAATGGTCTACTTCCACGGTGTAATGATTCTATGATAACAGGTTGGATGATCTACTCCTGCTCCTATTTTCCTGTACTTCTATACGTACTTTGATCATTAAATTATTAGCATTAATCAATTCTTTTAAACTGAGAGCTTGTATGCACAACCAAGGCATGAACTCAGCACTAGGTTCAGATTTTATGTTTCAAAGCAACTCATTTTTGGTGACACAGAAAAATACTGTATGGCAACTGAGTAAGAACAATATGACAGTCAATACCTACCCCACATTGGATCCTGTCCGGTAGAACTTTCACAGTATTTTCTTGTGGTTCTCTGAAAGTTTGGGAACATGGCTCCACAGTGGATTTTGCTATGTTACTCCGCACCTTGGCCTGAGGCTCAGCTGGTGGTTCAGATTCTGTTGTATCACAGCCCGAGTCTCTGCTGTAGCCTGATGACATACAAATTCCAGATGTTTGAGTAACCATTATAAAGAGGTATAGGAACATTACTCAGGCTTATCAAACTCCCAAGATATGTGTTTAGTCTCTGCGCTTCACTTCATCACTGACACAGCAACAACAATCATCTGTCATTGATAGACGCTCAAAAATGTAAACAATCTGAGTGTAAACTGATGTTTGATCCTTTCGGGGCAGGTGTGTTTGACAGTAGAGAGTCTGTAGGCCACATTGCGTCCTGCCGAGGAGGGTGATTGACAGAATTAGGCAGGTCAGTGGAGAAGGGGGTTGCTAGGTGAGTGGGTGGGGATTGAGCTGGTCACGCTCTGACCATTTCCATCCTCCTCTTCACCCCTCTCCCAACTCTGAAAGAACCTGCCCACAAAGTAGGCCAAGACAGGAGGAAAACTGAGGCTGAAAGGCAGCCGACTTCCACTTCCCAATTTCAGGTGAATTCTGCCCAGGCCTGCTCGGAGTGGTGGACCACAGTCAGTGTTAGTTAAACTCTGCTCCTGGTCTCCATTCTCCTCCCTCCCTCCTGACCAGAAACTGGGGCCTATCTGTCTCTTTCTAGCTCTGCTTCTTAACAGAAATGGCAAAAGATATTTTATTTTAGCCCTACTGCTTGACATTTTTTAATGTCACTTTTATTGATAACTTATTTAAATTAACTTTTTGCTTTAGAATGGTCTTTTTTGTTTTTGAAATTCATGTTTATTCTGAAATGTGCTCACTGACCCCCTGTGAGTGAAAGATAATTTGCAAAGGGTCTTCCTCACTGACCCCAGCGATTCCTAAGTAAACATTAAGATTAATGGGGAACCACAGCAAGCAACACGATTTATGTCCAGTCTGGGCTCCAACAGCAAGGCTGAACTTTGTTGGAGATGCATTAATTCTGATTTATACTACGAACAGTTTCAAATCACTAGCTGTTAATCTATGCCTGAGTAAGTGTATTGCATGAAGGAAGTAATTAAATTCTAACTGGAAGTGACCATCCGTTAAACTTGATGATCTCAATGGGTCACTGCTCAAGAACAATGTTTCCACCTTCTTGTAGTTGAGTATCCATGGGTGATAGTTGTGATAGCCCAGATGGTAGGGCAGCCAGACTCACAGGGAGCTGTGCTGATTGTTAAGACAGCCAGGGAACTTGTGGTCTCTCAGAAGGTTCTTCAGAATTGCTGAACTATTACAGTGCAGAAGAAGGCCATTCATCCCATCGTGTCTGTACTGGTTGTATCATCTCGTACCAATCTCCTGCCTTTTCCCCATATCCCTACCCACCATTTCTATCCAAATAACTATCCGATGCCCTTCTTGAATGCCTTAATTGAACCTGGCTCCACCACACTTCCACGAAGTGCATTCCAGACCCTAACTACTTGCTGAGTGAAAAAACTTCTTCTCACATCACCCTCATTTTGTTTGTATGTCAATGTCCCTCATCTTTGAATCTGTGCACCTCTTTCTTTTTTTATGAGGGGAACAGATTCTCCTGATCTACACTACCCAGCCTGCTCATCATTTTGAAACCAGATCTCGACTCAACTTTCTTCTTTCAAGGCAGAACAGTCCCAACTTCTTCAACTCATTCACATGACCGATGTTCCTCATTCCTGGAACCATTCTAGTAAATCATTTCTGTACTCTCTCTATCGCATTAACATCTTTTCAATAATAGGGTGTCCACAACTGTACACAACACGACAGATGAGATCTAACAAATGTCTTATGCAAAACAGTAATATGGGCAAATGTTGAAAACTAAACCTCTCTGATCTAGGGCTGAAGGGACTGCATTCTCTGTCCCCTCTGTTACAGGCTCAGACGAAAACAGCCTGGCTTGGGCTGTATCTGTATTGAACTTGGTGGAAAATTGGTACCTGCAGTGAGTGCCTCGCTGTGAAGGTCAAATGACCCTCAGCTCCCACCTCCAGGGCTGTCACAGGGAGGCCACCTCTTTGGGTCAGGAGGCAGATTCACCATTGATGAGATGGCAACAGCACCATATCTAAATAGACACATGAACACGAGGCAAACAGAGGGATGGATACCATGCATAGGCAATATGCAGCGGGTCTAAATAAGGTGCAGGAATTGGCACAGGCTTGGTGGGCTGAGGGGCCTGTTCCTGTGCTGTATTGTATTATTGTGTAAAAAGGCCCTGTAGGGGTCTTTATGTCTGTAAATCAACTGTTCACTTCCTGGAGGTGGGCACTTTGCCCATTGGCAATCATGCCATCACTGAAATCGCAGGGATGTCAGTTTTCCATGGCTCTTTTCCGTGTTACTGACCCAGTCTCCAAAACAGGACTGTCTCGTTTGTGGATCAGGAAAAGCAGGTAGAAACTGAAGCCTTGGGTTTGGAGCACCATAACCAATGCATCCTGTAATTTTGTTCTGGAGTGTTTGGGCCGTTTATTTAAGTGCACACTGTAAATTATTTTGCATAACTACACCCATGGGAACCTGAAGCGCTGACCTCTGGATTACTGTGCAGTCACACAGCCCTAAGGGTACACTAGTTATGAGGTTACAGACCACAGAGAATCAAGCTTCAGAGAGTCAGTAACAGTCTAAGCAACTATTGCACAATGTTTGGTGGTGGGGGCAGGGTAGAGAGGAGAAACTATTAAAGAGTTCAGCCATCACTAGCCAGAGGTCAACAAATAACCTCAAACAGTGTCAGCAGATTTGATATGAATTTTGGGATGACTTGAAAGATCACAATGTTGTAATAACACAGTATGGAGCTGGAGGAACACAGCAGGCCAAGCACCAGAGGAGGAGCAGGAAAGCTGACGTTCCGGTTCGGGACCCTTCTCCCAGCCATTTCTGAAGAAGGGTCTAGGCCTGAAACGTCAGCTTTCCAGCTCCTCTGATGCTGCTTGGCCTGCTGTGTTCCCCCAGCTCCACGTTGTGTTATCTCAGACTCCAACATTGGCAGTTCTTACTATCTCACAATGTTGTAAGTTCTGAGTAACATAAGTTGGAGCATGAGAGGGAAATAGAGAAATTAAGAAGGCCTTTTTCATGCCATCCATTCTCAGTCAATAGACCTGAAGAAAGTGGGTACATTCTATAAATGGAATAAAAGAAACCAAGGTGCAATATGATATCAATGACGCTAACCACTGTAAATAGACTTTGATTGAATTGGGTGAAGTCCTACGGAAATGAGAAAATGCTTTCAGAATCTATTTGCTGTGGCAGTTCCCCATTTTTATAATTCGTACATCTATAAACCAACTATTTCCATCTTTCACTTTCCCAGCATTACAAACTGTTCCATCATGACAAAAGTTCCAACAGGGCAGCCATGAAAAGAGTGAGGATAGTGTGCAAAAGTCGGGAATTTGGGGAGTGTGGGAATGCTTTGCTGTGGGAATTACACCTTCTTCTCACATCCAGCACTTGCATTAATTCATGTTAGTTTGAGGCAGTAGGCATCTGGACAGTTTTGCTCCAGACCTCCGACACATCTCATGCACAAGTACAGGCTCACAGTGGGGCTGGTGTGACTAACAGCGGAAGGGGAAGAATCCAGGTGAAATAGACAATGGGAAACCACAGAAATTGATCAAATCCTACAAGTACAATGTGCCTCTTTTCTAAGCGGATAACAACGATTGGAAAGACAACCAGAACCTGCACAATGGCACCGTACAGCAGTGGACTGTAAGAATAGGAGGAGGAGGAGGAGGATAGTAATGTGGTGATGGTAGGGGATTCCATAAATATGGGTCCAGTAGCATCATTTGTAAGCAGGGTTGAGAATCTCACATGGCTTTTGCTCTCTTAGTGCTAGGAGGAATGACATCTTAAAACCAGTTTGAAGGGATCTTGGAGGAAAGGGGATGATTCATTATGGAAGCGATTTAGGGAAGAGTATGTTTGTGGGATATCAGGAAGCAGAGAAAATTAAGGAACAGAACCCCCAAGTTTTACAAGGGGTAATATGTCGAGTTCAATGGCTCTTGTTTGGATCTCAGTTATGAAGTTACATCAGACTCAAAATGTTACCTCTGTTTCTCTCTCCACAAATGCCGTCAGACCTGCTGAGTTTCTCCAGCATCCACAGTACTTTATTAAATTCACTGCATCTCAGTCACATCTCAATTAGTATCAGAATAAACAGAATAAAAGGATGAGCACGGGGCTGAAAGAGGGGTTTGCTGAAGTGTCATTCCATTCCACAGGAAACTGGTACTGGGACAAACACACACAGTATAGGAACAAATTGAATGAAAGCTAAGTGGGAGGTTGTGCTGTGCGAAGAATGCAGAGATGCTTCATTGTGATTTGGATCAGCTGAGTAAGTGGGCAAATGCATGGCAGATGCAGAGTAATGTGGATAAATGTGAGGCTATCCATTTTGGTAACAAAAGCAAGTAGGCAAACTATTATCTGAACGGTGATAGATTTGGAAAGATGGAAAGAGATCTGGGTGTCCTTATACACCAGTTGTTGAAAATGAGTATGCAAGTGCAGCAGGCGGTGAAGAAGGCAAATGGTATGTTGGCCTTCACAGTGAGAGGATTTGAGCACAGGAGCAGGAAATGCTGCAATTGTATAGGGCCTCCGTCATACGACACCTAGTGTGCTGTTTTGGTCTCCAGGAAAGTGCATGAAAATGATAAGGATAGATGGTATAATGAGATTCACGTAAATCATCATGATGTAACTGGTCATATGACTCTGACATCATTAAGAGAGACAAAGCCAGTCTAGAATGAGCCTGTGAAGAGAGAAAAGTCTCAGACACTGCACTGGGGAAGTGTATTTGAGAATTTACTCTATACAATCATAAATAAAGAAATATTACAGGATGTTGAGGAACCTTACATACAATAAGAAGTAAGCAGCCTTAGGAACACCACTTGTACAGAGATCCTATAGCAGAGAGATACCCCAGACTAGATCCCACCAACACCTCAGACACTCAACCTCTCTCTCTCTGTGACCCAGAACTGCAGGGCTACCG